GCCGATAATGAAATATATATTGGTTACTTACTCAAAAGAGTGTTTCGGGGTAAAATACATACATCAGTATGCCCTTAATATTTTGATATAATCAAGAGGTCATGGTTATGATGCAAAATTAGATGGAGCCAGTTTGTTGGCAGAAGTGTTTTAATACTGGGTGGATCTATCTCATAAGGAAAGTCTCTCTGAACAGGCTGTAACACTGCATCTAAAGGAACAACTTCAAACTCTTTAGAAAAAATCAGTTATGATCATGTTACAAGCCTCTTTACTTAATAAAACTAACAACTCTCTGGTGCCTCAGAAAAGCCCTTAAAACCCGTCACAGCAACTTTCAAGGCAGTCAATGCACTAATTATGCAAAAGGACAACCATTCCTTACAGTTTAAAGCACATTTAACAATCCACACCCTTTTTGACCTACATTTCATCACAGACAGAAGTCACACCCACAACCCACTCTAGTTCTGTTCTTGAGGTGTTTAAACCTCACCTGAAGTAGGTTTTAAAATTGGCTTTGAAGAAAACACACATTAAGCCAAAATAAGGTCATCTAATTTAGTACCACTATCATGTGGCAGGACTCAACACTTCCTGACCCCGTATCTATTCAGATTGCCTTTTCAGATCACTGTAATAACAGACTAGATAAACATGAACAGGACAGAAAGACATTCTACAAAACAGCAAGACTGTTAAACTGGAAACAAATATTGTACTGTTGTTTCAAAATAAAGAAACCCAAATCTAGAAACGTTTGCATAAATTCTTGAAAATAATAATGGAATCAAATATGCACCAATTGTGTCATGCTTCGAAGAGCCACGAGAAGCAACAGGCTCTGTTTGTAGCTCAGGTGGCCTGAACTGAAGTTCAGCTGACAGTCTGCCCTCTGCCCTGTCCTCAGCCTAACCTTTACTGTGCAGGTTGATAATGGTCTTAACATTGCCCTGCTCTCCTGTTTGTCTCTCCTGTTGATTACCTCATTTTAAACTTAGTATTTTAACTTGTTAAATGCTCTAAAAGAGGAGAGGCAGGGAAGACAGAAGAAAAACTATAAGGCCTTGATTTTCATCATTATTATTGGCCTTGTTACCCCACTTAGACCATTATGTGAGCAGCTTTCCTGAGTTTTGATGGAATGGGGTATCGCCAACATAACTGCTTTAAATGTAAGCAATTAATTTTAGATGTAGCAACAGAAACACAGACATGATAATTCTTATCAGAATTCAGCAATATATGATGTTAACAGAACGTGTGGATACCAGACACATTTGGTGTAGGGGTCTGTATAAATGCAGAGTGTTTTTTAACATTTTCATCTAAAATCTGATTGACACTGAGATATGGACTACTTTAGAGAATTCGAAAAAGCACAGTAATAGCTATACAGTTATAAAATCAGAAAGCACATTAAGAAACTCAGTTTGCTGTTTTTCAGGAGTGCATACTGTATACTGTATCTATAAATGTATGGAACATTAACCTGCAAAATCTATCATACGAAAAAGAAGTGGTAGATCTGAGATAGAAATTCTAGAAAGATGTATTGATGGATCTGATTAATATGAGCAGACATGCAAGGAACAAAGGGAGCAGAAGATCACTATAAACTGTATAAGTAAGCTAAGTAAGATCTTTGTACATTAAGGCACAAAGGCTGGCACTTAGTGTTACAAAGAATGGAGATGAATGTTTAATCCTTTTCCTTTTCTAGGTTACTCTCTTTTCATCTTCTTTTCATTTCAGCAAGCCTTTTGCTCCCTATCTACAATATGCTATAATATTTAAAGCTTAAATAAAAAGCTTTATAAAATAAAATTCACATAGTTACATTAATTTACCATAATCTCTTAAGTAATTATGAACTGTTAATTGCAATTTTAGCTGCATTTTCACATCTCACTTATGTGCTTTTTTATCTGAGATGAAATGCTGTATAAAAAATAGGGTGGAGTTTCATCTCTATTTTGTTTCATTACCTTCCATATCTCTGTATGTTCTCCCCGCCTAAGGTTTAAAATCTAATGTAAGATCTTTTTTCATGCTGCTGGTGTAGATTGAATTTAGAAGTCCTGTCAGAGTATAATTCATTCACTCTCTCTCTCATCTACATTATCTACCACCTTCCAACTTACAGAAACATAGAAACATCTTTTCAATAACGTAATGGACACGCTGGAGAAATGGCCAATGGGGACATTATGGGGTTTAAGATGACCAAGTGCAAGGTGCTGCACCTGGCTCAGAGCAATTCCTGTTATCAACACAGGCTATGGACGAACAGGTCAGGAGCAGCCCTGCCCAGAAGGACTTGGGGTGCTGTGGGTAGAGGCTGGACATGACCCAGCCATGGGCACTCCCAGCCCAGAGAGCCAAACGTGTCCTGGGCTGCATCCAGAGCAGTGTGGGCAGCAGGGCCAGGGAGGGGATTCTTCCCCTCTGCTCTGCTCTGCTGAGAGCCACCTGCAGGGCTGCATCAGCTCTGGGGGGCCAGCACAGGAAGGACGTGTTGGAGTAAGTCAGGATGAGAGCCCGGAAGATGATCAGAGGTATGGAGAACCTCTCCTATGATGACAGGCTGAGAGAGTTGGGGCCGATCAGTCTGGAGAAGAGAATGGTCTGGGGAGACGTTACAGCACCTTTCAGTACCTAAAGGGAGCTACAAGAAAGCTGGAGAAAGACTTTTACAAGAGCCTGTAAAAAAGGCTAGGACAAGAGATAATGGCTTCTAACTGAGAGTAGGTTTAGATTAGATATTAGGAAGAAATTATTTGTTTGTGATGGCTGTGAGACACTGGAACAGGCTGCTCAGAGAAGATATGAATGCCCCATCCCTGGAAGTGTTCAAAGTAAAGATGGATGGGGCCCTGTGCAACCTGCTCTAGTGGCAGGTGTCTCTGCCCATGGCCAGGGAGCTGTAATTTGATGATTTATAATGTCTGTTTCAAGCTGAACCATTCTATGATTCTATAATTCCATAAGCAAACACAAGCGTATCTATATATGCACATACACAATTATATTATACAGCAATGTTAGGGTGCTCCTAATCCGCAGCAAGCAGAGCTTTTCAATAAATAGATTTTTCATATTGTTATTATTATGAATATAAAGTGCATTTTAAAACAATTGTGACAAACTTTTGATCAGTCAGGCTAAAGGTTTTCTTCTAAAAGCAGAAAAGGGCCATAGATAGCATGACTGGGTATAGTGCTACAGTGAATAAATAAATTGGCCTATTTTAGATGCCATTTCCTGGGAACATGATCTTAGCTTCAGAATTGCTCTCCAGACACTGGCTCCTTTTTTACCACAATTGTCTTGCTGTCCAGTCTGATGACTGCACAGGGAAGACAATATCTGGGTGCAACGTCCCACCCTGAAGAGGAAGGGAACACCCAAGGGTTGTTGTCACCAGAGCAATTCATGCAGCCTGGTTTTGGCCACTATCTTTCTTACAGGCTACTTCTACTTCTGCAGGGCTGCAATCCAGACAGATTTTGATGGCAGCCTTCTCATTATTGTTCTTTTGGCAACTCCTCCTTCAATCCCATGGACTCATCCTGAAGAAGAAAAATAGTCTTGGAGATAAAATTCTACTGAGGATTCTGTCCTGAAAGAGAGTCAGAGGGCTAAAGTGTCTTGGTGGGTCCTTATTAGTCCATCAGCCCATGTTGAGCACCCTTTTAATAGAAATCAAGACTTTTGTTCTGAGTATTTTAAAAATAATGGAATAAATATTCTTCCATTTTAATTACAAGAAACTAAAATTATTCCATTTTCTCATAATGAAAATAATTAGATTTTTAGACATAAAATATTTATTTGAAAAATAGTAAGAAAGATAGAAACAAACTTTACTAATCTCAGATATCTCTTATTTTACTCGAAATGTTGTTCTTAAATGGCCTTCATTTAAGAACTCCTCCTGTTCTGTACAAGGACTTTGTAGTCAGAGAATCCTCAAGGACTACATGCTTCCTGTTGTAACATATACTTATAGCAGTGATAACAGCTATGTCACTGTTCCTCTCAGTTAAGTTATTTGATTTCATCTCAACAATTTATCACAAGGATAAACCTCTACCTTTACACTGATAACAAGAGTATTCTAAATAATTATTTTAAGAAAAGAAATTTAGGACAGAAAAAAAATCAATTTTATAACAAGCTCAAGAGATTACCAAGTGATTGTAAGCATCAAAAAGCATTTTAAATGTACTTCTAAGTCAATTCTTGTGTTTCCACCAGTAGATGTCACTCTTACCCAAATTTTTCTTAGTGTTTTTCTTTGCACAAACTGTATTTGTAATCTAGTCTTTAAAGCAATCTCTTTTAACCATTCAATCCTTCCCATGTTTCTTTCCCCTTCTTCTACATTCTGTTCCCTTTCCTTCTGCCAAAACATGTCTCTGTAGGCTGCTCACTGCTCACCCTGGGAGCATGTAAGTATTTCCAGCTACATTAAGCTGGTCTGACCTTATGATGAACTCAGGTTGCCCTCTGAAGCTTCATTGTTTCATACCCCAGGAAGTTTAGAAACTTTTCCTGTCAAGATCATGGCCAGTCTGGCTCCAGTGCCAGTTTAGCTTCCCCAAAACTCCGAGAAGCAGCAGCCTGGCTCCCAGTGCTTGGGCTGTGCACATGCACTTGTGCACAGGTGCACACACACAGTTTGCTCCTGCAATGCATTTCCAGGAATCAAGTAATTTAAACTAAACACACATCAAGATTTTAGAAATGGCACATCATATATCTTAATCTATTTAAGTAATTTCAAAAATTTTCCATGTGTATTGCTCTCAGCTGCACAAAGCCATATGGGCTCACAAACCATCTGGAAAACTGTATCCCATCCAAAACTTTGCAGTTTGTCAGATATTTTGGAACATGCTTTTAGACTGACCCGAAATAAATGCATACCAAAAATGTCATTGTATATAATAAAAGCTTGTTGGAATCCAGTACAGCATGAATACCATCCTACTCACATTCAGTTCCAGGTTCAGATGCAACACACTTCTGTTGATCTTCTCTTTCTCACTTGAATGAGGAAATGAGTTTGATTGCCCCAGTCTGCAATCCAGGACCCACGTATCTTCATCTCTGTTTGCCACATCCAAACTAGTCAGCCGTTCAGTGAAGTCATCCTTTGAAGCAGACTCTGCTGGGAGACCCAAATTAAATTAAATTAAATAATTCTACGCATCTACACATAATCCCTGCATATAGAAAGTTCTATATATTTTGGAAACTCTGGTACACACTATCAACACGCGCAATTTCAGTTCTCCTGTTTGTTTAAAGAACAACAGAATGGCATAAAGGGGGTAGCAACTTTGTTTTGGCTCAGAAAAAAATCTTTTTGTCCTTAAATTTTGTAGGTCAGATCTAGCATAAAAAAATGGGCCACTTGTCTTTCTCCCATATACAGACACAGACTGTGTGTAAGATGCTTGAGTTTTTACCTCTGCCAAGGCACTGGAAACTTCAGATATGAGTATAATTCCTGTCTGCTGAATATCATAACTTAGCATTATAAAAGAAGCCCTGAAAGACTTTAAGGCCAGATTTGATGGAGCTCTGAGAACCTGGTGAAAAATATCCCTGTCCATGACATGGGGGCTGAAACGAGATCATCTTTATGGTCCTGTTCAATCCAGGCCCTTCTCTGATTCTAATAATGGCACTTAGAATTTTGTAATTTTAAAAAGTTTTCTTTTCTTGTTCTCTAACTTTAAAAGACATTTTAAAAAGAGGCACTAGGATTGGAATCTGTATGTTTGCTTAAATATAGGCTGATTTTCAAACTTTCGGATAGCTTACACTTCCAAATAATTTAGGTGCCAGACTGTATCAATAAGCATAGTAAAATATAATACTTGATAAAATGGTCAATAATCCAAAGTACAAGCCAGTCATTATTGTGAATATACTCATCTTTCATCTTATTCAGATGAAATCTTAGAGTGAGATCCTATCAAAATACAGCATTTTTGCAGAAGAGTATTACACATACCTTTACACATTTTGAAATTAGGTACTGCATATAATATTAACCTGTACCAAGATATTCAAATACAAGACAGCACATTTTAAGACATTCTCAGGTCCAGATATGCTATCTTTTAGATCAGGGATCTAAAGAGAGAATTGCTTTCTGACTTTCTGAGTCCCTGGTTTTCTGTGTACTTTTACATGCTTGATAAAATATTTATTTTCTTGGCCCTTATTCCATCATGTAAGTGTTGTGGTTTAACCTCAGCCAGCAACCAAATACCATGCAGGAACCATGTATCCAAAACATAGCTCTGTACCAGCCACTGTCAAGAAAACTAAGTTTAGCCCAGCTAAAACCTACTCATTAAGCCATTTTGATATTTAGAAAGCTTTAAGATCAGAAATACAAATATTATTCTTTTAACATTGAATGCAAACATTACACCTATAATAAGCTGAATAAAATGTATCAGTTGAATTTTGACCTTGTTTTTGTTGCACCGTACAATTAGCCAGTTACCACTAGAGAACCCCTTTACATGATTATGACATGGAAAATACAAAGGAAGTTCCAGGTGAGTGGAGAGGAGAAAGTAAAAGTCACCATTTTTAAGGTAATTGGACATTATTTGCATCATGTTAATAAACCTATCATGACAGATTTTGGTGCTTCTCTTGATTTCTGTCACAGATCAGTGCTACAGTTTTTGTGGGTACCTACTCACTTTTCATCACAAAAAAATTTGAATCCTGTTATATAACCTATAAAAACCACATATGCTTTCATAAAATTAATTAAAACAGCATTAAAATGCAAATATACATAGTAAAAATCAGGAAATACTGCCATTTTTATTCAGTGCTTTTTGGGAATTCATTTTATCTTTGTAATTACCAATTCATTGATTGCCCACTCTGCTCACCATCCCCTCTAATACTTCAGTTTGCAGTAATTTTGGATCAATTATTTTTGGCTGTGTTGTTCAAGGTGCCTGTTCTATGTCAGCTACTGCTAAAGAGCAAATTCATTTGCAGCAGTGATTTTTCCCCCAAAATATGCTTACTCTGATTATTTCCATTGATTCATTAAGTGATACAGAACTGTAGCAAGAGGCCACAATCCGAATTTCTTCTTGCAGCAGCAGGTATTTCCCATAATTAACTGTGGCCCAGCTAAGAACAGTCTGTCTGGCAAATGCTTTCTGGGCCTCTAGAAAATCTCTAGCTGAATCTCTAGCTGCAGAGATTCAGTTTTTGTCCAAATGTAATTTTATGCACCATTGTATTAATTTATGGTATTTTTTTCTGTTGGCAGACTCCTCCCAAGTCTGTTACCAAGCCTCTATTCTCCACCCTCCTTGTAATTATTACTTAATGTTCTGTTCTGTATGCATTTATGCTGGTAGCTGATGATTGCTTTCCTCCCTGATCCAGTCCTCACCTGCACACACCATTACCATAGAACCACTTCTATGGAAAAAGACCCATCCAACCCAACAGATAGCGGAATATGAAAGGGGTACTTTAACCATGTCTCTAAGTACTCTATTTTAAGCAAATTCTTAAATGTTTGGCTATATTTTGCCCTGAAGTTCACCATTCTGTCAGCTCTGACAGATGGATTTTACTGCTACTTACACTTACCCAAGAAACTTTTTTTTTTTAACTAGCAACCTACTGTAATCTGATTGTGCATTTTAAAAAAAGGTCATATATACTTTATACATGCATTTGCAAACACATGTATATATCATTGAATCATAGGCTAAATTTAGGCAGTTTTAAAATGCATATGTTTATCCTTTAGCCAACTTCAATGAGATAATTTTTTTTTTCCTGCTGAAAAAAGTTAAGCTTTCAAGAAAGTTCAAGTGCTATTCAAACTATCTTTCAGGTTTTAAAGTTTATACCACTTAGGAGTTCCTCCTGTGTGCACTGTATGTACAAAGAAGACTGCCCAAATACAGATCTGCTGCCATCAATTGTCCCAAGGGAACGGCAGACAGAGCATGTAAATAAGGGAAGACTGAACACTTAATGCTTCTTTAGCAATATTTACCATGCAGACTTTGTGAGTGTAAAGAAGCAACTTTTTTATGTTATCACAGATAAGACAGATGAGGCAGTCAAACTCGAGGGGTACAGACAGGGTCTCATCATCAGACTGTGACAACAAATGGTACATCCAGGATTTCTTAAGCCCTCTAGTCCTATGCTGAACGTACATAATTATAAGGTAATTGCATCTGACTTTTTTTTGTACAAATTGCCATTCTTGTCATATAAAGTCTTTTAAACACCAATGGTTACATTAGCAAACAGGCACATTAGATACCATGTAGTACATTTCTGTTAGGTCGCCATTGTGGAATACACAACTCCATGGAACAGTTTCTGTGGGCAGACTCTCTCTATAGGAAACCTGTTTGTGCTTTCTCAGCTGTCTGGGGAAAAGAACCTGGGGGAAAAATATCAGCTTCTTAAACTTTTTTTTTTTTTTTTTGTTTTAGTTAGTTCAAGGAATTTGGATGTTATGATATCCCTTTCCTTCAGTACATGGTTTGATTAACCACAACTCATTTAACTCTCAGGCCAGTGTTTACACTGATTGCTTTTAGCTATGTTTCCTGACCACTATATATTAATATTTCAATCACACTCCATTCTTTCTAGATTGCTTTACCACATAGGATAAAAATAAAATGCTCACTCTTTTGTATGTTGATTCCTCTGTACTGTAATTCTGCTGCCTAGTTGATTGAATCTTATAAGCACTCTTATATGCATGAATAAAGAAATTGCATTAATTACATGTATTCACTGCTTGCCTCTTGGAAGAAGTGCAAAGAAGGTAAATAAAATTCAAATCTTTGTACACCATTTGGGAATGAGTCTCAGAATGCCAGGTTTTGTGGAACTTTAAAGTTTTGGGTGTCTTACATTTTAGGAAAAGAAAACCCTAACAAACAAAATAAATAACCAAATAGGTTTTTCAGCTAGTGAAACACAAAACTGAAACAGTGTAACTCAGAAGCTGCCTATTTAAAAGCACCGTTTTGACAGTAGAAGTGAACACTCTAAGCAGCAGAGCTGCATTTAGAGGGTTTACAGTATTATTGGCTTAAGAGAATGTTATTACTGCAGGGATTTAGCTCTTGCAAGATCTTAAGTTAGCAAATCACAGCATGTTACAGAGTCTTTGGTACACTTCCTTATTCAAGTAGATGAGACTTGACCATTGCTATTGAAAGCATTGGTGGAACATGAAGATAAACTGAGTCAACATATTCTTTAAAATTATGGAAATACAAAATATGCAGATACTACCTTTTTTTTTGTTTTGCTGTGGGAACCTCAAATTCCATCCCTCTGATCTGACTCTTTCCTTTCTAAGCAGTAAAAGCTTTCTGATTTTTTCCTCTTTAAAATGTCTCTTTTCTTTTTGTTATTAGATACATCAATGTATTAAATCACAAATTAAAACAGCATTGGAAGTAGTTTCAGATTCTGTGGTTAGAAGATATTGCACAGTTCCATCCACATGCCATCTGTGGTATCTCATATCTGTTAATATATAAAAACATTAATTCTGCATAAACATATAAATTACACACTCAGTGTTTCTCTATATGTAGCTGACACAGAGGACAATAGGATTTGATTTTCTGAAGTTAAAGTCTACTATGAAGTTGAAGAAATATGAATAAGTAGGGAAAAATAAGAGAAGTAGAAAGGGGATTTAAAAACCTAGAGGAAGCCCTCCTCCCTCCCTTTTAATTTAACATATTTCCTTAATAGGAAAGAAGCAAATAGAAGAAACCTGTTTGCTCTGGTAGAACCCCAAGAGAAGACTGAAATCTCAGCATTAATCTTTCTGTTTTATTGGATAGAATGTAAGAAGTATGTAGCTGTGCAGAGAAGGGAACATTGCACACTAGGTAGATGAATAAATCCTTTTTACATGAGGAAAACTCATAGTTCAAGGCTAGAGAAATTTGAAAATTATACTAGATGCTGTCTTTGGGAATGAAGATATGTCATCTTTCCCACTAATTTATACAGTTTTTATTTAATCTGTATTGTAGCATGGGCAATTCATAGTATAAGCAGTTTAGCAAAATCCTTGTTGAAGGTTGCCTGTTTCCACAGTACATTTAGAAATTCTTT